CAGCCATTATGTCTGTTTTATCCACATAAAAGCACAGGAGAAATAAAATGATTGGTGCCCTGATAAGTTAAGGAGGATAGACTCTTGAAGTCTACAAATAATGCAATTCCTTTTGGCTGATTGATTTTGGGTAAGTGCAAAGGACATAAACAACCATTCTTTTAAACTGAAAGGAATGCATCTGGATGATGGATAACTGCAGTTCAAGCAGAAACACTTCTACAAGTTGCTTTGTGGAGGATTGGCTCATTCTGTCCCAAACTCCTGTTTCTTGTCAGTGTAACTGAATGTTAGTTCCTCAGATTGGAAAGAAATCTGTAAAGAAGGAGAAAGTTTTACTTCTACTCTACACATGGTAGTGGGCATGTGAGCTGCTCAAAATCTAGGCTCTATGCCAGTTAGCTACATTCCTGTTTGGTAGCTTGGAGCAGTACTGAGATTGCAGTAGGTGTGTCACTGCAATGCTTATCCATACTATCCAGCTAAAAAAAATCATCATATCTCTCTTGCTCCCTCTCACTGCTCATGTGTGTTTTAGTTTTGGAGAACAATACCACATGCAATCTCATCCTCACCCCACTGCCAGAAAAAAAATTGATTAGCCTTGTCCGCAGGTGGCCCCAAAACCCGTATCTTGCAATTTAACACTTACTAAATATTTAAAGAAACTTACCACGCATTTGAAATCTTTGTCCCTCTTCCTTCCCTTCTTACTTTCTTCTATTGTAATCTTGCATATGTTTTCCTGTTATACAGCAACTACTTCTTTCTCAATGCATGTTTCTGTGTGTACTATTAAAGTACATATCCTGCAACATAATCCTGCAACATAGCATAGGCTTCTCTTTTATGGATGATGGTGAACATTTATAGATGGAAAGATCTTGAAACATTATACTCTCTTTTTTCATCTGCAGTTCAGTTATTTTGCACTTCTGTGTTTTAGTGTGGCAATCCCAAATCCTTCTTGTCCTCTTGGTATACAGCATGAGAAGCTGGGAGAACACTGTAGTCATCTTCCTCACTGATGCTACAGAACAGCCAGTGAGAGCAGAACAGCCCTTACATGAGGAAGTGAGAATTATATGAATACAGAGAGAAAAGGAAGCCTTAGTAAACAAAAAGTCTTGTGTAAGATCATGTTCAACCAGAAATGATTACAGTTCAGTCTGAAGTAGCTGGAAAAACTGGTGAAGATTGCAAGACCCTTCTATTATATTTTACATAAATTTTTAGTGGTAGATTGTAACTGGAAATACAGGCCTATGCCGAGAAGTTCTAACTCTAGTCAGGTACACAATGTCTTGGGATGATGCAGGCAAAACCCAACGATATCTGCTGGAGGAAGCGAGTAAAGAGGTTTGGACTGAGAAGAGTTAAGAGCAAATATCTACTAGCAAGGTAGAAGCAAATTCTGGGAGCAAAGTTACAGTTTTGTCATGGGTTGCTGTGGAATAGGACAACTTTGCTCACCATTTAATTGAGCTCTGCCCTAATTAATATAGAATCATAGAATAGTTAGGGTTGGAAAGGACCTTAAAATCACCTAGTTCCAATCCCCCTGCCATGGGCAGAGGCACCTCGCACTAAACCATCTCACCCAAGGCTCTGTCCAACCTGGCCTTGAACATCCAGGGACGGAGCATTCACAGCTTCCCTGTTCAACCCTTTCCAGTGCCTCACCACCCTCACAGTAAAGAACTTCTTCCTTATATCCAATCTAAACTTCCCCTGTTTAAGTTTTAACCCATTACCCCTTGTCCTATCACTACAGTCCCTAATGAAGAGTCCCTCCCCAACATCCTTATTGGCCCCCTTCAGATACTGGAAGGCTGCTCTGAGGTCTCCACGCAGCCTTCTCTTCTCCAGGCTGAACAGCCCCAACTTTCTCAGTCTGTCTTCATGCAGGAGGTGCTCCAGCCCCTTGATCATCCTCATGGCCCTATATAAACACAGGCTCTTGCCCTTGTATGACACCTACTTATTCATTTGTTTGCTAAATATGGCTACATCTGCCTTGAAAAGACACAACAGTATAAAGCTATGTATATAGTGCTGGAATATAGATCTTGGGTGTCCTGCTGTGCCCCCCAGTAAATTCTTAAAATACCTTTGTTTATGCCCTCACTTTTCCACTACAGCTACAGCCTCAAGTGGTAATGCATTGTAAGAAGTGAAACCTAAGAAACTGAAGTAGATGTTCTGGAATTTCCCCACTATCACATACCAAGTATTTTTTTTTTTTTTTTCTTCTTTAAATTAATTGAGATGAAAATCCAAGAGGATACCTCTGAGCATTTAAAGGATCTGTTCTTCATTTTTATTATTCCAATATTAACATTTCTTAGCCTAGATTTCAGAGAATGTTCTGCTTTTCTCAAGTGTCCATACTTGATTCAAAGATACTTCCTTAAAGAAAATGGCCCTTATTGAAGCCAGCTGCCTCTGGATCAGGCAGAATAAAAAAAAAAATCTGATTCTCAAATAGAATTTTGGGGTGGTTGTATAGTTCTATCCTAGCGAGGCATGTTGCCGTTGCCTAAGGCCGCTGACCAAAGTGAAAAATCATTCGTAAGGGCAGCAAAGGACAGCACACCTTTTTTTTTTATTTCCTCAGTGATATTTCCTCCCTCTTGCTTTTCCCTTGTGAAATAAATAGGAATATGGAATATTACTGCCAGAAGAGTGGATAGATTTGTGTTAATGTTTAAGAGCAAATGTCAAACTATAGAAACGTTGCAGTTTTGTATGCTTTCGAAGTATATAACCAGATTATTATTTTGCTGTATCTTTTCTTTGAAAACTCTCTCAGTAATTGTCTATGCAATCTTGTACTGGGCACAAACACTGTGCTACATTGTAATTGCTTCTTTTAAATTTTGCATCAGAGCTTTGTAACATTAGGCAGGGAAAGGCGAACGAAAGTTTGGGTGGATAATTTCTCTTTCCCTGAAAAGAATGTCTTTCAGAAGAAGTCATTCCAAATGAATGTTCAGAGCTGTGAGTCACAGCATTAGTGGGTTGAACTATTATTCTGTGCAAGTATATGGGCATATATTTTCAGGATTAGTAAAATGGAGAAATATTATTTGTAATAAGAATATATTTTAGGATAATGGCAGGGTTATAATCTCTGCAATTCTAAAGAAAGATTATGACTTGACTGGAAGAGGGATTGACACATGAATAAATCTGTTCTTTTTTAAGAATTTAAAAAAAATCACTTAAGATATTTGTTTGAACTGCAAAATACATGGAAGGGCAGACTTTCTAGAATAGAGCATGAGACATCCATATTAAAGATCTCTACCACGGATAACCTCTGAGAAGTGGTGCTTCTGGTGCCTTCTACAGTCCTTTCATTTTGTGCGTTGATATTTTCATATTGATTTCTCTTTCCCTCCTGCACCTGTCCCTTGTTTTCTAGCTCTACCTGTGTCTCTGTAATGTATTTTTTTTTCAACTCATGCCTCTGTGCTGTTTTTACCTTCACATTTTATTCTTTTTTTCAGTCCAAAGGAAATTTCTACTCCCCCTTCACCCTCCTCATACACCTGTTCATTCAGTTTCTGACTTATGGTTTGAGATATACCACAACCACAGGCTGTTCCTTCTGAAAAAGAAGTGGAACTGGGTGTTAGTTAAAGCCAGTTATGCTGGTACTCAACATTAACATTTAAACACATTTTGCCCCTTTATAGAGCATTCACCTACTATGTCTAAGTATTTTTGAAGAATTGTTCTAGTGAAACATTTTAATGCTAAGTGCTTTTTGGCCTTTAAGATTGCTCTGGTAGATTAACTTGGGCAATACATTCATTTTAACAAAAAAGATTTTTTTTTTCATCAAAAGTATCTTTCAAGGGTAACTTCACTTGAGCTCTCTAAGGAAAACGTATTCCCAAAGAGTTATATTTTATCAGATGAAATACTTCATCCTAGTTTGCTGCAGCTGGTATCATAAAAACACCTGTAGCCTGAACATTAATCTCTACTCAGTAGTGAAGGGTAATGGACCTATAGATCTGCTATTGAATAATAGAGACTACTGGCAGATCTTTGCCTGTTCAGTTCCTGAAGCAATGTGCATGGAAATTAGCAGATAGGCTTCTTTTACATTCATCATACATTTCTGTGAAAGGCTTAGGGCATGCTTTTATTGTGGGATCTTGTTGATAGCTATGCAAAGCCTTTGCAGAGTCAGTTTAAAATGGCAATAAATTTGAATGTTAGCTTTTGCCATCTTTCCATCGGCACTCGTGCAGTATGGGTGTCCAAGAGTGTATGTTCTACTTTTGTTTTGGGAGGATATTCTTTTAATAGTATTTAAAATAATATAACAATATAAAAAAAATCAAAACTTTTCTTGAAATGCAAAAGATGAGGAAAACCAAACTTTCTAGAATAAAGCATCAGCCACCCATATTCGAGATCTCTACACACATGCCTCAGTAGGAATGTGAATAGAAGCAGGAAGGCTCAGGAATCCAGGGGATAGGACTTCCTTGGAGCATTTATCCCCTGGGAACTACATGTTCAGAATGGGTTGCATCTTTCTCTGTAAGAAGTGTGGGTAAACCGGTGTTGTCTTATTTTTACTTTCTCTTTGGTAGCTACTGCTTTCTGAATATGCGGTCAGGCTGCAGCCACTGGGCTGCTTCAGCCTCCAGCCTTCTGGTTTCCCAAATACAGAATTTACATGCTGATTAATAATGAACTTAGTTTTATTCTGGAATTTATAAAGGTTTATTTAGATAAACCTATCGTGTATCTACTAATGTAGGGCAGAGTTTGTTCTCTCTCCCCATACCCTCAATCAGGAGGGTGCCACTGCACTGCCCAGCTTCTCTAGACCTTCTGTTTCTCTGAACTTTCAACATCTCTTTACTAAACACATTAAAATAAACTACATTTTTGTTTTCAGCATTAGATTCCTGAGCATTTTGATGGTGCCAGTTATAACACATCTATCACCAAGGGTTTATAAGAAGAAAGGATACTTATGGTCAAAGCTATACCATATTCTGAACAGCCATGCACTCTCAGCTTTGGTTGTATTTTTATCCGGGTTAGATGCACTCTGCAAAATAAATGAATGAAGTGAAAAGTATTTTTATAGCATACATAAAACATGGACTTCCAATATTAAGAAAACCCATGTCAAACCAAATTACAATTAAACTGCACTTTTTTTTTTCTCCCCAAATTCAGAAAGCTTCTTTGGCACACAAATGTCATCTCTGAATCACTTCAAGAACAAATTGGCTCATATAGCATTGCTATATACTCATTGTAAGAGTGCAGCATTTACTTTTATTGATGATATCAATTTTATTAAGCAGCTGAGAAGCAATGTATTCTGAGATCAATAAAAGGATATTTCGATTTAATTGCCATTGTAGGATTACTTCAGTTTACTCCTACAAGATCAGACGCTATTTGTGTATGTCTAACAAAATGTCATTCCCCAAAGGATCATGATATCCTAATGACACAACTTTCCTTTCGTACTTCTTTCCAAGGGAGGAGGACCATAACTTGAGTCAACAAGGTTGAAAACACTGCTTTCCATTCTGCAAGCTAATTCTGGGGTGTGTTGCACAGGTAGATAGATGGATCTGTCCTTTTACTCAGGATCATTATTCAGAATGATACATTAGAAACAGCTGTACAAAGACAGCTAATTGTGTTATTCTCTGGGCATGGCATTAGCACTAGCAGAAGAATTAGTGGCAGAATGGAACTAGGAATGGGCTTGCTAGTTCTCTAAGGATATTTCATTATCATCTTGCTTGTGTTTTGCTGCAAGTTAGATTTTTTCTTTTAATGGGAGTATTTTTCTTTATGCAACTTAATTTATCTATTTTTTATGCTTTAGAAATATATTAAACATTTCCTATTATATATTAGCATTCATGTAAATTGGCTGATGATAATAATGTCAATGGTCTGATCCTCAAAACAGTAAGGTTCCAAGCCAACCTGTGCATAGGAACTGTTACATTGATTTCACTGAATTTTGACTAAGGTTATATAGAGACAGAAACCTTATTGTAGCAGTTACGATTTTGTTAATATCAAACTGCTCACAGTGAACTTACAAATGTGCCAAATAGGGCAAAAGTTATTTTTGGGTTTCATTTCCGTGTTACTGAATTGATTATTTTCACAACTTCCCGTAGCAACTGGGGAGGCTGGAGGAGGGAAGAAGATGGTACTAACCCCTAACAGAGCAGTACACTCTTCCAAGACCTTCATATCTGATAGTGCATTTTGGCAGGATAGATACAGATGGGGAAAAGGGTTGAAACATTTAAGCAGGATATTTAATGACAGGGAAGGTCTATGTTAGGTCAGAACAACAAGAACACTGAAAGAAAGAAGGTGAAGGATGAGGGTGGACAGGGATAAAGATGAGAAAGAGGACAGGTATGGAAACACATGTATCGTGGAGTGGGCTGCAGCAAGCAGCCAGTAAGTGCAACACAGAGGAAAGCTGTAAATGGCCCATGTATCCTTGGTTTGACTACTAATATTTCTGGAAGCCATAGTGTTGTTGGTCCTCTTTCCAAACTCATTGTATATCTAGCTTCCTCTTGTGGGAAAAAGATTCCACATGTTGGAACACAAATTGTTCCTGTATAAAAGCAGTGGACAAGAAGTCTGCGTGACAGTATAATTCTCTAAGAATTTCCGGGTCCTGACCTGAAACTGCTTGTATTTCTTGCACTAATGTTTATTGTTTCTTTGTTCCACATCTGCTCTGTTGGCCTGTATTCTCTGGCTTATGTAAGCTCTATGAGTCTCACATGTGTTGCACCTTCCTCCTTTTGTATATGAAATCTGTGTTGTGTTTACAGCTTTTCTGTTTGTTGAGAATGTGGGTAGTTATTTGTAGTGAAGATCCTGCTTAAAAAGTACAGACAAGGGATGGCAGGAGATGTTGGTATGAGTGCTTTTGGCACTGTTATAGATCTTTGGATCCTATGATCTCAGAAAGTAACATTTCACTTTCCCTGCAGTTCAGAGAGGTAGAAATAGGGGACACAGTCCACCACCTCTTCTGGACAGCACCTTTTCTCTGGGAAGTGAGAATGCCAACGTTTCTCATCTCTTACTTTGGAATTGCACTTAGATTATTCACTTGCAATAAAATCACCAACCAGCTGGCCAATGAAACTGCTGGGGAAAGTATAAATACTTGGTATACTAATAAATAGGTGCTTATTTTTAAAGGTATCAGGTAATTTATTTTAAAAATAAACTATTAATTTGAGAGAGATAATATTGACATATGTTTTGCAGGGTATTTCGTTTTCTCCTGAGATCAATACTGCATCTACAACATTTTCCCCGAATGCTTGTAGAAAATACATTCTTACACTGTCTTGGCAGAGATTAACATAGTAAAATTTGAGATACAGAAACCATCTGAATAAAATGGTATTAACTGTTTGGTTTTCTTTCTAATGGGGAATGAGTTAAAAAGCCAACTGCCATAAAAGATTTTGCCTTTTAATAGAGCGACTTTGTAACTCTGCTTAGTGATTATGTATTCTGCATTCTGCTTATCAGTGTTAGATTTAGGTGTTCATACTATGAATGGTATGCAGCAAGCTACTTTTGCTTTTATATATTATTTTCTATAAAATAATATACATTACCTGTAGTATTATGCAATTAATTTCTTTCAGAAATGAGTTATGATGGTGCATCAATAAATAAATGGGTATGAATATGAGGCTATTATTTCTTACGTTTATGCTTATATTGTGATAATGATTTAATGATAAACACCTTTAAGGAAAGGCAAGGCAGAACTGACACAAAGAACCTGAGAGATGCTTTTGATGGATGAGGTCACAGTATGGTGAAGACCAGATGCTAATTATATATTAAAAGGCTTTATACCTTTGCTAGAGATGGAGCCCTGGATTCCAAGTCTTACAGCTTGAACTGGAATTTGCTGCTAGTGGACTGCTAACATTACTAGTTGAGCCAGCCCAGACTAGAGCATAATCAGAAGTCCATAAACAACTGTGTACATGGGAGTCTTGACTAAACACATCAAATTCCTTCTGGGAAGGAAAAACTGAATTTGTGAAAGGGAAGGAAAGAAGGGAGATCAAGTTCAAGTAGGAAAGCAAAAGTGTTATGCAGCTATGTAGCTGCTATGGTCTCTGACATAGTACTCACAAGGTTGAAGGTGTTTAAGCTTTTTTCTGCCCCTGAAAAATCCAGGTCTGGTTATAGATACAGATTGAGAGGTTCTTACAGCAAGATACCCTGTGTACTGGTATTTAGAGTGGTCAGAGAGAAGGTTAGGTTCAAGTCTCCACAGTAGACCTTGTGGCTTCACCGTTCTGCCTGAGTAGTTGTTTCAGTAGTCTGGCTGAGAAGAGAGAAGCCTACAGGCTTGTTTTCCACTAAGTTTGCTGTCTTTTAAACATCTTATTCATGAGAAGATATTCAGTTCTTATTTGTGGTACAATCCCCCTGAAGCATATGTTTTCAAGTTCATCTGGGTGAGAGCTTTAACTGGAACTTGATAGGTTACTTGTCCAGTGATATATGCAACAAAGCCAACTCCTTTCACTATGAAGACACGCTAACATAGAAAATGAAAATTAGATAAACTGAATAAAAATACTATATTAGAAGTAAAGGGAAAGAAGAAAGACAAGAAAGAGGAAGAAGAGTTGTGAGACGGAGATGAGATGAAAGAGAATATTAAAAGAAATAACCTGACATAAATTGAATAACTGACATAAATAACTCAGATAAGTACTGCATTAAAGAGGGCTGCAGAGAATGCAGCAAAGGTCTGAATTAGTAAAAGGCTGAGATTTCAAATATAAAAATGTCAGAAAAAGGAAAGTAGAGTACCACAAGAAGGAAAAAGAATAATCAGAGAAGCAACACTATCTTCTAAGTTAAAATTTGCTACTGTAAGGAATGCTGACTTGAACATGATAGGGCATGAAAAGCGTTACATTTATTTACACCTTTTGTGTTGTATTGCTGGGTTTTGTCAACAGAGAGAGGTGTTAATTCACAGGGCACAGTTGGGAAACTGAATGTGTTATTGTTATTCATAAACATGATTATTTCAATTTTTAACAATAGAAAGAGAAAAATAGATGCCTATTGACTTCTGAAGAAATCAGGTTTTCACAAAGCATGCATTCAGTCAATTTTATACTCCATTCTCTGATATTTGATAGTTCTTGATTGCTGCAAAGTAGAAAATTTCTGACATGATGTTATCTTTAAAAACCAGTCAAGAATAAATTAAGGTTCTATATTCTGGCCTTGGTCAGAATTTGGGTAGAGGCATTGCAGGAACTTGCACCAAGGTGCTTAGGAGAGTGATATTAGCGATTAGTCCCCATAAACTCAGAACAAATCAGTATCTTGACATGGTGCAATGGAGTTATACTAGCCCTTCTAATAGTGACTGAGTTGTAAAATTAAGAATATGGTCAGATATGAATAATGTTGTTGGGGTCTTTTTGTTATTTTTCATTTCTTTTCCCCAAAGAAACAGCAGGACATTAGGCACCTGAATTCCATCCAGTTTCCATCAATGACCTAAATGAGACCCTAAATGCCTTCAGATAGGTGCAAAGGTGTAAATGTTAAGACTGCTCAGTATGTAAGATTTATTAAAATTCTGCCTAATTATATCTTTAATGCATTTTCAAGTGAATAGAGTATCTTTTTCGTGTCTTACAAATGTAAATACCAATTTAAAGCATCACTGAGTAATTTAAATTTCAGTTCTAGTTATGCAGTCTGAAAGAGTGCATGGGGTGGTATTGCCTAGAAACAGGAACACAGTATTAGGTACTTTTTTGCTTTGCCAACTTGTCAGCTGTAGCATTGTTTCTCCCTAGTTGTACTGCTCTTCCACTTACTGTGCGGAAGCACATGTCATGTCTCTGAGTATTGACTTACTATAGATTTCTACTGTTGTTGCAGGCAGTGCTGCATTTGAAATAATGCTATAATGTATGACAAAAAAGGGAAGGTGACAGTTGAACAGCTGCACCTTGCTAAATAGCCTGCTTCAGTTTACAGTTTTCAAGTTCACAATGCACTTAGGTTTCCATGTGAAAAATATTTCCAGAAACCTGATCTCCTAGAACTGAGCATTGCACCTTCTCCTGTTTTATTGTAGCGAATGAAATATTGTTCTGGCTAATTTCTATAGATGCAGCATTCGGAAGGTGATAAATATATGGATGTATCAAGGCAGTACTTCTGTTATTTTGTTTATTAGACTTCTCAGGGTATCTTCACGTTTATTTACAGTTTTCTTAAAACTCTAATAGCTTTAGTTAAAAATTTTCATCATTGCATCCACATTCAAAAAACAAATATATCCTCTGTATTTTATAAATAAAGCTCCTTTTTATTTTCAACCTGCCTGTTTTAAATATTTTCAGCAATAACACTGTTTCTGACAAACATGATCTACCAACAATTGAACAGATTTTTAATAGAGTATGTATATCTACAGTCATGACATACCTGACTTGCAGCTTCTGCTTTCAGATCTTCATCTGGATCTACGCCAACTCTGTTAAAAAAAATCCAAAACAAAGACGTATGGTAAAGATATGATGTATATTAGAGAACTTTGAGGGTAGAAATGTTTCTCTTGTGCCACTCATTTCCTGCTAAGTGAGAGATGTGAAGAAGAGCTGACAAAACATTAAGATCAGTTTTTTTAATCAAGGAATTTCTTAAGTTTTTGGGAAAATTGAGAGTCTCTTTAACAGCCGGTCATAACTCCTGAGATTAGATCTTTACCCTGGCTCTGATCCACACCTGTGGTGAGAAAATGAAGTCATTAACCTGTGCTATGAAATCCTTAATTACTGGCAGAAGAGGGGTGTTGAGAAGGAACTGGAGTTGGGTATGAGGACAAGAGTACCGGACTCTGGCATTTCTTACTGTACTGCATTGTAGCTAGCTTGTGGCTTTTGGAAAGGGCTTTACTTGGCACAGAAAGTATGGGAAAACAAACCCAGAGAGGAGAGGAAATTGCAGTGGGTGATGTGCAAGATGATGAGAACCTGGGTGGCATTTTACTCATACGGACAGGGAAAAAATAACATTGGCTGTTAAAAGTGATGTGGTGGAAGAACTGACATATCTTGAATACTGCTGATACTCAGAACTGAGGGGTGCAACTGAGGAATGTTGAGTTGAATGACAGAGGCTTGTGCTGATGTTCATACCACTTACAGAAAGAGAGCAGTGAGGGTGAGGAATAATGAAACTTCTTATCCCTGGAATCTGAAGCCCACAGCTAGCTAGCTAGCCCACCAATAGCCCCTGAAAGCCTCCCACATAGTATCAGGTCCACCAAGCTAACGGAAAATTTACTGATGTGAATAAAAGGTACTCTTTCACTAGATTCTAGATACTCATTTAAGTCACTTAGATCACTTTACTGTTTTTCTGACAGTCTTCCTTCTTGAGTACGTTTTTGATTTTGGTAATAACACATCAAAATACATTTTAAAATAATATTAAATATTAACAGTTACATACTTCAGCCTTATTTCCTGTAAATATTATGCACTCTTATTCAGTCCGAGACAATAACAGGACCTATATGCAAAGTAAATGCTTTTTATATGTAAATATTGCATGAAAGAGAAAAGACATTTGTTTCTATCATAGCTCTTGAGCTTTCACAAACCTGAGTTCTTCAGGCATAAATATTTAAATCTTTTTACAAAAATAGTCCTTTTCTTTGTCCTTTTTTTTTTTAAATTGCTTGAAAATACTTCTGATGGCACTAACCTATTCATTAGTTTGGAGTAAAGCAAGTTAGGTATTTCCTTTTTAATGAAATTGAAGTATTTACACGGGAAGAAAAAAACATTACACAGAGGTTTAGCCATCTGTCTGACAGTGGGTTTGTTGTTATCATATACAGAGCAGTCTAGGACCTTCTCTTTCCTCAGTATTGTAAAACTAAGCAGTGTGAGACAGACACTGTTGTAGAACTAACAGTGTGCAGATGGCAGTGTACAGAGTAAATACAGCAGATTATGAAGCTTGAAGCAATGGCACAAATGTAGGTGTAACGGTCCCAAATTTATAAAACAGGTCACAGTCAGAGAATCCCAGTCTCCTAAATGCAATTACATACCCTGTTTATTAGACTATGTTTATTTGCTAGATGTGTTCACCAGGAACACTACTTGACCAATACAGAAAAACACCAGCAGTACAATAGTCAAGGGTCTGCACGGTTCTGAAAAGTAAAAAAATTCAAAGCATTTATGCATGACAGGTGGCAGCTGAAAGGCAGGGCTACAGCACAAACTTCTCTCTCACTCTCCTGTCCTTAATGAGCTTAACTTGACCTCAAAGAATCGGTCTCCTGGGACAGAAGTAATTCAGCCTTCAAGCAGTTCTGGACCTACTGGAGTAGAGAAACTGCCACTTCCAATTGATTGTGTGTGTTGGAGTTGTGATGTGTTTATTACAGAATGAGCTAAGACAACAGAAAACATTTCAGCTGGGACTAAAAGGACTGCAATAGTAAATGTAAAAAAGGGTAGGCAATGGAGCCAGTAGGAGCCAGAGTTTCTGACTATGATACTGTTTCAGTAACTGTCATGTAACTACTAAGTTATCACATTCACAACAACAAACCACTGGCACAGGAAAAAAATCTGGGTTTATAGAGTTTCACAGGATTTGTGGTATGCTTGAGTTTCTTTGCATGTATAACTTCCAATCCTTATAGCTGCAGAGACAGCTAGTTGTTCTACCTTGTTTATTCTGCAGACAATATATTATAATATGGCACATACGAAGATAGTCACATGAAATCTTAACATGAGTATTGCATTTAAAGCCAGACAATCCCTACCCCTCACCCCAGCAATAAATCACACTTAAATTCAGTGGAATCACACTTCTGTCCTAGATTTTTCACATATGAAAAAGAAAGGAAAGCATGATACATGAAAGACACATGAATGACACGGATCCACAGATGACGCTTTCCTTTGGTCTGGTCTCTGCTCTTGTTTGACACAGGTGCAGATGCCCTTGCTGTTTATCTCATGGAATAATATCTTGCTGCTGCAAATTATAGAATCATAGAATAGTTTGGGTTGGAAGGGACCTTCAAAGGTCTAGTCCAACTCCCCTGCAATGAGCAGGGACATCTTCAACTAGATTAGGTTGCACAGAGCCACAAGCCTGACCTTGAATGTTTCCAGGAATGGCGCATCCACTGGATGGGCAACCTGTGCCAGGATTTTACCACCCTCATTGTAAAATACTTCTTCCATGCTTCTAGCCTGAATCTCCTCTCTCTAGTTGAAAACCATCATCCCTCTCCTATTGCAACAGGCCCTGCTAAAATTTCTCGCTGTCTTTCTTATAGGACCCTTTTACGTGCTGAAAGGCTGCAATAAGTTCTCCCTGGTGTCTTCTCTTCTCTGGGCTGAACAATCCTAACTCTTTCAGTGTTTCCTCACAAGAGAAGTGTTCTAGCCTTCTGATCACTTTTGTGGCCGTTCTCTGGACCATTTGCAACAGGTCCATATCTTTCTGTATTGAGGACTCCAGAGCTGGACACAGTACTTCACGTGGGGTCTTACCAGAGCAGAGTAGAGGGGCAGATGTGGCTAGCAAAATCTTATGTATTGATTTAAAGCCCCTTGGGAAAAGGACCAGTCATTCTTTGTGTTCTATAGGAGAGTTTTTAAATGCATTAAAATAGCAATACATTTTTGCAGTAACTTGACCATTAACAACTTTATTAAGTATGCACTAAGCAGACTGAGTTCAGTCAGTTCTGAATTTGAAGCTAATTATTTCATATTCAAATATAGGCTTGGGAGCTTAACAGTGACCATTGAAAATCATGGTCTGCTATAATTAACTCTGATACACTTGCTATGAACTAGAATGCTGTTTTTAAACTGCAAATGTTGAAAAACACAAGTATAACAAATTACATGAGACAGTCAAGACAACTGAAATTAAGCAGAGACATGCACTTCAAGTCCTTCCTCAAAAGACCTGCTATAGGTCTAATGGTATTGCACTAGAATTCCAAACTTAAAATTTGTATAAATTACTACAAATGCTTCTAAGAAATACTCTGTTGTTAATACTTGTATAAGTATCTCTTTCCCTATTAAATTTTTTTGTTTTCCCTTTTCTGTGAGAAGTTTTCGTAGTACTTTTTGTTCTCCTTTCTTGCTGTCAACTTTGTTTCTTTTCTTCTGTTATCTTGTTGTACTTCTTGCAGTCTCCATTTTCCATTCCTCTGTCCCACTTTCCTGGTTGCTCTCTATTCCTAATTCATTTCTTCTTGGCATTCTTCTAAATATTGTATGTTTTTATCTCTGCCTTTCTATTTTTGAATCTTTTTATTCTATACATTAAACATTTAGGATGACTTCTATAAAAACAAATGGAACAAGTACAATGACTTTTTAATTAGATCTATACCGCAGTGGAATATATCTGCTCTTACAGGCTTTAGTAAGACCTTTAGAGTCGAATATCCTAGATATGAAAGAATTCAAATTCTTAAGAATTCCATTATGGTGGGGGTTTTGTTTTGGTTTTTTTTTTTGGTGTCTTTTTCTTGGCGAGGAGGGAAGGAATAGGAGTTGTGTTTTTTTTGTTTTTAAATAATGGCTGGATAAAAACCTGAATTCAGAGATTAAGATTTCTATATTTGAAATCTGGAAGTAAAGCTTCTGACTTCAGGCAGTCTTGTGGAATTATGCCTAAGCATTGCTAGGAACTGTGCATTAGTTTGCAGAAGTACCCTTTACAGTTGATGGTATTTAAATCCCCGTGTACTATCAAGTGTATAATTTTTTTTTTTTAGCAACAGACAGAATGCAATTTGTAAAAAGAGGAGGAATTTGTCACTGAATACAAAGCAGTTGATAACAACTTTTCTTATGTGGTTGAAATGAAAATGGATGGAAAGATAAATCCCAGATTGTGAAGCGAACAAGCAGCAAAAAATACAATAATGATCCACAGGGACAGAGAGTAGTAAATCACTGTTCAGGCACTGCAAACTTTTAATTCTCTCACTTCAAACCACCACAAAGTCAACACTATAGGGTAAAATCTCTGCTTTCTACAGTGGAAACCACAGGAAAATGAATACACTCATGACTTCAAGAGGATCTAGGCATGCAGAGCAGAACTTTTGGTGTCTATACTTACAAGTGTGATTCTCAGCCCTCCCTTACTTTAGCTGCCAAGAAATCTGTAAATAGACACATTTCTCTGAAATCTGAATTCTAATTAGTGAAATTCTACTTCTGGGCTTGTACAGGCTTTGTGTATTTGCAGAACAGTTGATTCATGCAAGTTGAATCTTACTTGCAGTCCCACCTAGTCTAGTTTGCACCTACCATATACCCACACTGGTTAGCAATATTACAGATGAGGCAGCCAGGACTGCTTTTAACTGAAAAATATGTCCTGAGAGCATGCAGTTGATTCCATTCCTTCTTTATTTAACGAAAGATCAATTTGAGTGTCCTGTGAAGAACTGGGAAGCTTAGTTTC